CAAGGAGAACAGCACGAAAAATATATTAAATTCTTTCATAGCGGAGATCCCAATAAATTTATCAAACAACAAGAGCGTGATCGACTAAAGAAAGAATTGTGCGAAGAAAACTGGATCGTTTTAAGGTATGTTTGGTACTATGAAGACCCATATATAGTTATTCCAGAGCATCTTCGAGAATTGGGTCTTATTGAGTAAGCTCGAAACTTTAATTATATTCATATAATTCATTTTTTAATGTTAAGAGCTTATTGAGAAATACAAAACATTTACTGTATATATTACACGTATATTGATAACAGTGCACATATAGCATATTTTTTTGTTAGATGTGCAGTGGCCAGCATCAATCAAAAATTTATTATATTACAACACACATACATTCACGCAAAACCTACACTCATATAAATGTAAATATTTCAAAATAATCAGTAGCCACTCAAAGAACGAATATAGGTTATATTATTGTATCGCAGATATAATTTTATTTTCTGATAATATCACCCCAAGACAATACAAAAAAGTATTCAAGCGAGAAACTACTTATCAAGGTGGAAACATAAGCGAAAAGAAGCCTATCTCTTTAGTAAAAAGCAAGCTTACCAGCAAGATTTCCAAGAATTCTTAAAAATTCAAAAAAACTAAGTATCACTACTTACTACTTTCTCTTTTTTTTTAGTACGCACTTTCTCTGGAGGTTCGAATGTCTTGGATGTAACGGCAGGAGGAGGCGTGTAACATCCATCATCTTCAAAATCATCGAGAAAATTTTCGAGATCAACATCATCTTTCTTGCTAATAACGTCTAATGTTTGCATGACAATGGAAGAATTTCTCTTAGAACAAAAGCTAGTGGGTTAGAATTCGTTAAACGCCCGGAAACCTCGTAAACTTTACCACGACTGATACGGGTAATATATCCTTTGGGGAGATCGGCTGTGATAAGTTGAAGTCTGTTTGCTCCTTGGAGCATCCCGACTACTCGTAGTTTCCTCACGAGTTCTTCTTTCATCATACACTCAACAGCAAGCCGGTTTAACATATCTTTCAACATTTTACAAAGTTTTAAAGAGTCTGTCATATATTTGGTGCCCTTTTGTCCTTCCCATTTTCGACCAGCCTCTGTCGCACCAAATTCTAAACAACCTTTACGTAGTCTGAAGACTCCATAGCCCTTTCGGCCAATTTTCTTTCGATCGTCTAATGTTCTTTCAAGATTTCTCCTTTCGCTTGATGCCAGGCTCATTCCCTCCCCGCGCACTAAATCAATGTTCAATCTATCAAAGGCTGGATCAATTAGGCGACCCCACACGTTAATCTCAAACCAGCAGCCTTCCAATTTGGAAGTGTCAAAGGGATCTTCACTCATCTCCCACAAACGTAGGATTCCACGATATGCGCCATTTATATAATCTGAGTCCCCTTCCGGTACAAATTCGAAGAGAACTTCTCGTAATTTCTTGACATTATTAATCGTATATTTTTTAAGTAATTCCCGATGACAATCTTCAAGTTTCGGTCTTTCTATAACTTCAGAAGTGGTAATTTCTTTCCACTCATCTTTATAAAACAATGACTTCGTAGGAACATCAATGTCATTAATGATGAATGAATGTAAATAGGATTCATATGTCAACTCTCGTGCGTATTTATAAATGACTTCTTCTACTTTGCGACCACTCTTTAGTACCCACATACGATTAGAATCTAAGGCCAGGTACGCTTCCTCATATTTTTTCAGATCGGGAAGTGATGCTTTGGATTCATCACTAGCTGAATGAGCTGATTGTCCGTCATCAGCCTTGTGTTATTTTTGAAATATAAAATATCTAAGCATATAAATTAGTTTGAGACATGCTACTAGAACAATTATGAAGTTACCTTTATTTTCTTAGAATCTCGGTTTGGTTCCTCATTACTAACTGTATGATCTTGTACTACAAAGTATTCATCTATTGTACGTTTTTTTGAAGGAGTTTGTTTCGTCTAAGTGTTAAATACAAATTAATTAGTTCGACTGATCCTCAATTTCTAGCTAAAAAAAAACGCTAATCTGTACCTCTTCCTGATTTCCTTTAGAAACAAGATTTCTGCCGTCAACAGTCCCAATTGTTTGGCCTCCCGAAAATGTACCTCCCGAAAATGTATTGTGAACATTGATTGTGGGTTTGTTCAATTCCCAATTTTTAGCGATTTTTTTTCAGCTTTATCCTAGTATGAAAGTTTTAATTAATTAGTAATATTCTTATCTAGCATGTTCTTGGTCCCCGTACAATTTCTGTCCCCATCGGAACGGCTTAAAGGCTACACTAGGCAAGCATAAAGGTCACCTGTGCCCAATGGGACTAGAATCGGATCGGCTTAAAGGCTACAGCAGGCAAGCATAAAGGTCACCTGTGCTCCGAATATAGTTTCGTGGCTTAGGCATAAAGGCTAGAATGACGATGAGCTTAAAGGTCATCGCCACGCCACCAATTTCTTCTTCATATTATTAAAGAAAAATTTAATAGACACACCTTTTGAGCAACATTCGTGCTCGTTCACACCTCATTATTAATGATTTTGTTCAAACACGTAACATACAGTCCGGTTTTCGCTGATCACAGCTATTTAAAAAACTTTGATTAAAATTTATTATTTTATCTTATTAATAAACTAATTATTACATCTATCTTAAAATTATATTTTAAAATTGAACTATATTCTAGCTAGTTATACTAAGAATACTATTATTATCTATCTTTAGATAAATCTTAATAAATCTTAATATAATAATATTCATATTCTTGTTAATAAACTTTTAAAGACTCTCTCAATATTATTATAAAATACATAGTTACTTTTATCATATATTTTTAATATATTAAAATTAATACTCACTCCTCAAATAAATATTTACATCAAAAAGATAATAATATTTATTTAATAGTTTAATCTTTTTATATCAGATTATATTTATATTTTTTAAAATAATAATATAGTAATTTATAAAATAATAATTTTAATTAATTAAAAAAAATAATAATTTAATAAATATTTTTTTATAATCTGTTCAAAATTCTAATTTATATTTAATTAAATATATAAGATTATTTAAAAAAATCTATAATATTATTTAATTTTAAAATTTAAAGCTAATTTAATATAAGTATTATAAAAAAATAGATAATTATTAATTTAAAATTTCTTATTTTTAATATATTAAGAAGAATATACAGTGACCATCAAAAGTAATGTAACGCTTAAATTTTTTATTAATTATAATTAATAAAATACATAATTTTCTTTACATATAAAAGTTTTTAATTTTACTAACAAATATTTTTTATTTTTATCTCAAAAAATAGCTAAAGTTTGTTCTTTAGTTTAACATATATTTTTTCAGATTTTTCAGATTTTTTATCAGTAACTTCTTCTAATTATATATGAAGTTAATTAATTTTTATTAATTATTAATTAGTAAAAATTAATTAACTTTATATGCAATTAGAAAAAGTAACCAGTAAAAAATCCAAAAAATCCGAAAAAAATATATGTTAAACTAGAGAATTTTAACTATTTTTTGAAGTAAAAATAAAAAATATTTGTTAATAAAATTAAAAACTTTTATATATAAGAAAAATTATATATTTTACTAATTATAATTAGTAAAAAATTTAAGCATTGCATTACTTTTGATGATTACTGTATATTATAATTAAAAATAAAAAATATTTTATAAAATATTAATTAAATATTTAAAAAGTTTATATCAAATAAAATATAATAATTTAAATTTATTTTTAATTATTAATTTAGTTTTAAAAAAATTAAATATCAAGTTTATTATAAAACTTTATATATTTATTAATTATTAAAATATAATAAATACTTTTAAGTACTTATTATATATAATTAAAATATTATAAATATTGAAAAAGTAATAATAAATATTTTAAAAGTTAAAATATATTATAAAAATCTATTTTATTTTATTTTATAATTCTTTTTAATAATATTATATATTTATTTTCACTTTAAAATTTATAATATATTTTTTTAATTTTACTTAATACTTTAAATATAATTATTATATAAATTTAAAAAATATTATAAATATTAATATTAACTTAATAATAATTTTTTAATATTTTTTATAAAGAAAAAATATTATAATTTTATAAAATTAATAATAAATTTCTTAAAAATTAAAATATAATAATAATTTATTTTATTTTATTAAATTTTAATTACTAAAAAAATTTTTAATAAAAATTAATAATAACTTTATAATCTTATAAAAAATTTTATATAAATTAACTTATATAATAATTAATATAATTTATAATATTTTATTTAAATAAGATTAATAATAAAATTATAAATTATATTTATTAATTTTATAATAATATTATTAAGAAAATATAATTATTAATATAATAAAAAATAATTATAAAGAAAATATAAAAAATTAATATTAGTAATAATATTATAAAAATAATAGATAAAAATTACATTATATTTTAAAATATTAATTTTATAAAATATAGTGGCGACCAAAAGTAATGACTCAGGAACTAAATTTACTAATAAAATATAGTGAAAATTAAAACTTTCTCTCTATATAAAAATTTATGATTTTAATAAGAAATAATTTTTATTTTTTATTAAAATAAAGTTTATCAGTTATAGTTTAACATATATTTTTTTCAGATTTTTTAGATTTTTTCTGAAAGAATTGC